GTACATTTGCTGTTATGTTAAACTTATATTAAAGTTTTTCTTCATTACTCATTCAAACCGTCTCCAACCATTATTAGTCTTAAAGTGGGTTTCTCGTTACACCTAGTGGTGTAAATTAAAACAAATAATAGTTAATATAATATAATTCATTGCACATGAGGCTGAGGAGGATATATCTCGTTGTGATGTATGAAAATATATGTACACAAATAATTTGTCATTTTATTCTTACACATTTTGTTTGGTTTTAATTCCCTGTATTATTGAAGGTTTTATTTTGTAGTGAACCAAATAAATATTTCAATTACCAAAACTTTTTCTTGTTGTCTGTCAAGTTATTAATGAATTGAACAAATTAAATATTTGTTTTACAGAAATGGCTCTATCGTCAGCAGTTATGTTTTAGACTATAATTGTAGGATGAATAAATATAAACATGTTACATTGTAAATTTATGTACAATCTCATCGTCATTCCCTCTTTTACGTGTAATTATATTTATTACCACAGTAAGTTTCATTTGCGAGATCTGATTTTTCGTGTTCAAGTAGGTACGTGCCCGGCATGACCAGGTGGATAAGGCGCTCGACTCACAATCTGAGGGTCGCGGGTTCGAATCCGCATCCCATCAAACATGCTCGCCCTTTCAGCCGTGACGGCGTTATAATGTGACGGTCAATCCCACTATTCGTTGGTAAAAGAGTAGCCCAAGAGTTGGCGGTGGGTGGTGATGACTAGCTGCCTTCCCTCTAGTCTTACACTGCTAAATTAGGGACGGCTAGCGCAGACTTTGGATATCGGAGCGCTTTTTGTGTAAGTACCTGCAATGAGAGTTCATTCCTGCAGTCACCTCTGCGTGCATTGTTGTAAGAGGATACAATGCTTACAGACAGTTGATACAAGTAGTGTGACGAGTGTGCGCGTGGTTACACAACTATGTGATAGAGAAGACGTGCAGTGCACGTATTGTGTGTGCTTCTAAATATATTTGTGTGTTGTACATATGTGTTTATATATTTATATTTAAATCTGGAACACTGGTTCAATACACGGATTAAACCCGAACAGGCGACTTTGGATATCAGAGCACTTTTTGTTTAAGTTCAAAACATCTGTCAACATATTCGAAGTTTTCTGGAAAGTTGCGTACTGAGAAATTTCAGTTCATGAAATGTACTTTGGAATCTCAAAAAAAATCTCTTCGCGAGAATGTTTGCTGAAAGTGAATCTGTTACTGGTACAAGTTACAAAATAGTGCATAAGATGGCAGAGCGAGGAAACCCGTTTACTTCAGGGAAAGGATAACCTTATCTGTGATCTCTACAGAATTATCAAAGTTACAAAATAGTGGATAAGATGGCAGAGCGAGGAAACCCGTTTACTGACGGCAACTTCATCAAAGAGTGTATGATGGAAGCAGCAAATGGCTTGTGTCCTGAGAAAGCCGATTTGTTTGGAAGTATCAGCCTTTCAGCAAGTTCAGTTGTGCGGAGAACAGAAGAACTTGGAGAGAACATGGTGTTACAGATACGCGAGAAAGCTAGGAACTTCTGGTGCTGGATGAATCTACTGATCTATCGAGTACGTCACAACTACTCGTGTTCATTCGTGGTGTTAATTTGGACTTTCAGATCACAAAAGAGTTGGCATCCGTTTGCAGCATGCACGGAACAACAACTGGAGAAGACATTTTCATAGAAGTGCAGAAAACTTTGCAAGGCTGTAACCTTCATTGGAATCAGCTTTGATGTGTTATAGTTGATGGAGGAGAAACATGGCTGGAGTGAGGAAGGGTCTGGTGGGGCTGATACGAACTAAGTTGGAAGATCTTCAACTCCCTGGCGCTCTGTTTATACACTGCATTA